AGAGGAACCCTGGACAGGATCCAGGTCTCTCAAACTGCACTGATGTAACATGAAAGGTCATTAAATGGTCAATGAAGTATTCTCAATTATCTGTTCACGGACTTCCTCGTAATTAGGATAAGATGACTTAGACAGCAAGAGGTGTGTGTTTTACAAACCAGAAGGTTTTATACAGTATTCAACTTTGCATCTTTTCTGTCCCTGACTATGAAATTCCAAAAAGGCATTTCCTAAACTTGCACGGGTCATGTAACTGAAGGGTGAATGTAAATTAGATTTTGTATCATGTAATTATGACAACAGAAATGGTTGTCAGCTGCTCTGCACAGTGGGATAAATAGTTGGGCTTTGAGAAGGGGGGCAGAGAAAGTCAGCACTTGATAACTAGGGGTTGGGAAATGTGACAACCACCCTCTTCCTCCGTCCCTCCCACCTTCTGTCGTTTCTCAACACAGCTCTCAGTCAACTACTCTGAGCTGATAGCAGTCTTGAGGTGTAGCCAGGTCAATTGCAGCTTATTGGTAGTACTCACACAGGATAATCTACTGTAGTTGAGCGGTTCAGACGCCTGAATACACTCAGAACTACTTGTTGGCTGGTTCAATACCCCACACCTTACTAACATCGGTCATGGGGTGAGGCTGTGTCCAACCATTACGCTTAACTTTCAAAAATCAACAATGTGACATTCACACCCACCTCACGTTGCGATTGGCCAGCTGGGTGTGGATGTGAAAAAAGAGCCAGGGTTTGAACGTCTCTAATTATTTACATACACTTGCTCCTTTTGTTTTATCACATGGACCTTCTCCTCTTTGTCACTATTTCTACAGTCCCTTTGAATCACTTCTAAATGATTTCTACAAAAAAAAAAAAAAAGACAACTTAGCAAGTTTTGGACTGCTAACTGTTCCCCAAATTAATGAATGCATCAATTAGACAATGCCAAATAGGGGAATCCTATTTTCCGCCTGCCCAGTCAGCTTTGAGATGTAAAACAGGGGTGTCTCTCAAAAACAGCAGCTGATTCTGCTGGCCCTGATAACCAAGATCTACAATTAACATTCAGTCTGAAGAGCATCTTTGAATCGAGGAGGGAGAGTGGACAGAGAAGTATTGTGAAAGCACGCTGTCTCACACATACACATCCTTGAACACGCACCCACACAAACACACACACCTGACAGCTGCACTTTAACCCTCCCTTCCAGCTTATAGGTCTAATTATCTGGTGGTGGCCGGGGCCGCAGTGGGAGGCCTCTGAGTGTGTGTGTGTGTGTGTGTTTGTGATGCTGTGCGTCATGTGTGTGCATCAGCGGGAGGGGGGTTGCAACGCCTGCAGACCTGGTGGCTGGGACCTGTGATTTGATTTTGGAGGAGCAGATGGCAGGCTGCTGCTGGAAGGCATTTGGAGTGTGTGTGTGGGTGTGTTTATGGGTGGATGTGTGAGTAAAGACTTACTTTTTAGGAGAGAAAAGTAAAGCTTTTTATAGAATCGATGGAGTTTTGTTTAAATTACCATATTAAAATGTGATGCTAATTTAAGAAAAACGGCTCATATATTTGATAATACACAACTAAAACAAAGCACTACTTTTGATGATGTAACACACTACATAGTATTTTTCAAGCATCATTTCATGATTTGTGAACATTTATGAATAAAGTTACTGTATGTTTCTTATTCCTTTACTCCTTATATGAAGTATTTCTGACGTGTAATAGCCCAGAATCTAGTTGCTGCAATATCCCCTCAATCCCGTTTCTCAGTCTACCCTCATTGATATCAATGGGGTGGATAAAACACCACAAACACCTCCCAGCATCATATAACACCGTTCAATAGCTCTACAAACTGCAGCTTCCAAATGTACCATACAGTTAAATAAAGACCTCTCTAAAAGAGTTCCAACAATAACTGAACTTCATGAAGGTAGGGTTTACTGCAGGGCTGTTGAGCTGTTCATAGCTTAGCCCATCTACGCAGAACAATGCACAGTATCTGCTTCCATGCCTCCTTCCACACTGTAAGTTCATATTTTTATATATATATTATATTGCTGGACAAAATGTCAATACAAGAGACGCGTCATGCTTCAAACGTGATACATTTAAAACAGAGCTCGTCTGACTTCATATATACACAGAATCAGCTGGAGTGCTTGTTAACAACCCAAACATTATCATCGTTGTTAACAATGTTGTTTTGTGCCTAAAACATATAAACACAAAACCTGTAGAACACATTGTAACACAACCCACTTAAATAAGAAACTCTAGTCTCCTTTAGCATCCATCTGATGGTGAAGAACTTTACAGTGATGGATAGATGGATCTCTGCTCCAGCAGAGGGAAGGAATCATCTGTCGAAGATGCTGTAACTTATGGCTCATGTGCTTATTATTAAAAGAAAATTAAGGAAGCTACACTTGTCTGCATGACAGATGTAATGTGTTGTCTGCAATCTACAATCTCAAAAGACTGTATGGAACATGTCCTGAACCACTACTAAAAGGACTGATTTAGGATTTTAAATTAAAATATCTACAAAAAAAAATGACTTCCTGAATTTATTGCATCATTAATGTCGGTGTTATGTTGGTGGATGAATTGGCTGGCATCCATCTTCAACCCAATAACAGAACTAACAGGCCTAAATTGATGTGTGGTTTGACAATTTTCTTAAATTTATGCATTTACAATCATACTGTAGGCTAAGCAAAAACAATGAGTAATGATGAATTCTATTTTAATTTCTACACGACGAATTATCTATTTATGGGGAAGACTAGAACGAAGATGTACAGGATGTGTGTTATATTGAAAAGGTGAGCTTGAAAAATGGGAACTTTATCTTTATGCATGTTGTGCAGACTGGTACATAACCTGTGTAAAAACAAAATATACAATACAATATATACAGCTCTCAGTTTTGGTTTCACCACTAAAAAGAAGTTAAATCCCCAGAGACTTTACAACCTTTAATAACAGTAGCTGCCTGGCTGTGAAACAAAGAACTCAAAGGGAGGTTAAAGGACGGGTGCTCCCTCTCAATCTGTCAAATATGCCAGCCTCCTCTCCCTCTAAACGTTTCGACAAATTGTCAAAATCAACATTTGTAAAAACTGGATCGCTAGTAAGGCATCACAAATATGTCACAAGCACCAAAGTTGCTGCGCTTGAACGCACCCCATGAAGTCCAATGCAACACATGGCAAGAGAGCGTGAAATGTCTGGATAGAACAGCTGGTCTGCATAGCTGATCGAGTAGGAATTTACTAAGAGATGTAAATAGACACACATGAATGGTTTATGTGACCAATATGGGACTGAATTAATCACAACGTGATTCTTATAAGAAGCATTAATGTGTGCAGCTGAGGGTGGTGCATTTATTAGGCAATATTTTATTTTAGTAGCATGTTTTTGAACACATCACTCCATGACGTTATTCACTATCTTAGGTGTGCAAGTCTCTCCACCCAATCCTGTTTACCAAAAACTTAGCCCTCTTCTACATTAATTCAACTGATTGGCTAAAGGCTAACGGAACTCATCTGATCGTCACTTGACCATCACACCCCATGATCAGACATGACGATCTAAACCATGACCATGTATAATAAAGATTATACAATGCAAATTATTATACGATAGTCCTAACAAGTCATGAGGCACTGTGTTCCTGTACAGTGCTGGCTTGACAGAAAGGATGCTGTGCTGGCCCTGTCAGAGGTGAAAAGGATCACTGCTGTCTGGACTGTCGGGCAGAGAAAGATTCCTGTCGGCTCACAGGAAGCAAACATCAGCTGGTTTGGTTGTCAGACATTTGAATACAAGAGGTTGTTCTTTTTCACATGTTGTTAACGCCTCATCTCAACTGTAACTAGAACGCAGTAAGTTCAGTTTTTAGTAGTTTGAAACTTATTATTTTGCTCTAACCCTTAAGCCATAATTATGATTATTAATAATGAAATCCAAGTAGTTTATCAATAATCAACATCTCTCCATCAGAGGAATTGGCAATAAAAATAAAAGAAGCAATCCTATTGAAAATGACAACATTTAAGCTCTTAGAAGCAAACAAGCTGATAAAGTATCCACTCTCTAAAAAGTTATTTCTGGCAACTATTTTCTCTTGATTTTATGAACATTATTTGTGCAATTACAGCTGTTTGGAGCAAGGCAAGTTAAAGTCACAGTTAGCTGCATCTAACGTAAAACAAATCAGAAGTCATTTACTTTGAAGCCAGGTGCCTGAATTAGGAGAGTGATCTTTCATTTTGACTTTCAGCACCACGGTCTTTTTTTCTTTCATTTGAACAAAATACCCAAACAATTTTATTACTTACTAATCTAGACAAAGTCATTCCGACATTTTCTATTCAATATTCTTGCCAGACATTTATGCAATTTTAAACACCTTTAGTATGTCCTCAACCTGGGGTCTGTTTGAGGTCTTTGTTTATGTTCTGAAACTGGTAAAAAAAAACACATCAATTTACTTTTGAAGTACCTTTTACGTTTTTAAATTGTAATTTTGTCTGTCCTAAAGATATGATGCCGACATCTTAACTACATTTCAGCCCTTTTGCAGACACGTTTTTTTTAGATGTTTTGTAATAAGATTCTTCCTAACCCCATTAGTGTCTTGTTGAAATAATCTCAGCGCGTAATTATGTATGGATGATTAAATGGGGTGTAATTACCCAGACTGCTGACACAGCTGAAGCCTATAAATCACAGCGTTATTTGGAGATAAAACCTTTGGCTAAAAAGCTCAACCTAGTAGTTCCATCTGGTTTTCATATGCACATCATCCAATATCATCCCACTGAAAAAAATACAGCTAACACACTCCAACTGTAATTTTAGTCACCGGGTTCATGGTCATCGGCCTTGTTTCCCTGGTTTTGCACGAGTTTGCTTGGTGATTACCAGCGCTACAACTATCATCACGTCCTTTGCACTTCAACAAGCATGCATCATAACAGACTCACCTGCTTGCCCTCCAAAGTGTACAGTCTCCTCACAGCTCCGGAGTCCAGCTTGATTGCGTCTGTGATGTCGGTGAGCACCTGGTCGAAGGAGTGTGCCGTCTTCTTGTTGAGCAGTATGCGTACTGCCTTGCGGGGTTTGACACCGCTGCGGATGACCGTGACTAGCTTGGGTTTGATGAAGCCCTTGGACTCATGCTGCAGCTCGCTCTTCAGCGGGATGAGAGAGGTGAGGGAGCGCGACGTGCCGGTCTTGCAGCCCACCGACCAGTTGGGGTTGACGTTCTTGGTGTAGTCCACGTGTCGGAAGGTTTCATTCGAGGCACACACATAACTTTCACCTGGAGAAAGAAATAAGTTGCCGTAAATGCCAGTCAATGCACGGATCATGTAAACTGTATCCACAGCTAAAAAATATTTTGAATTAAATATACACAGATGTAATACATCAGAATTCACCAGACATGTATGGCATGTACCATAAAATACTGAGTCCACATGGCATTAGGCGAACAAAGAGTTAACATTCCTCCGTTGAAACAAAAAGGCACATTGAGAGGCAAGGCCAGTGTAACTCCGTCCTCTCTCTCCCTTTCAGCTGTTGAGCTGCTGCATTGGCCTTCCTCCAAAGCAAGGCATTTTGTTTTATCCGACAGCATTCCATTCCAACAGTTAACACGCAAATGTTTCCCCTAAAGAACAAAGTCATGTGACAAGTACAGGGGCTTGGCCGATGAATGAAGACCACAGCAAGAATGTCTGGTGATTGTTGTGAAGGCCGAGCATTGGTTGAGAAACTCGATGCCGTTCTGTTCCTCTCAGAGAAAGAGAGAGAACGTGACAGATGCTTTCTGTTCATGATACATTCTTCACGAAATTATTTGTGTCCACAAACACGTGGCCTGTCTCTCAGAATCAACTTGGCACTTTACAAAACATAGTGAATACTTTACATAATGTAAATGCTGCTCTAGCAAATAACCCACATGTGTCTTTCAGTGAAGATATTTTTAGGACAAGAGGAAAAAAAAAAGAATTCAGAGAATGTTTCATCAAAGCTATGAAAGAGACGAATGGCATTGCAAAGATTGCTATGCGTGTATCTCTGCATCTCTGGGTCATTAGTAGAACTGTATAGCATCGAGGCTGGCCAGTAAGCAATAACACATGTTTGTTGATAAGCTGCATTAAGTATAATCCTATAACCGGACATAAATCCGAAATATATGAGTTGTAAAAAGGTGGCCGTTTGTGGCACTGTGATCAGTATTTCTTAGTAAAGTTTCAGTATGTTTTGGGAAACACTCAATTTTACTTACAGTATCAATTCCAATCTCTGAAATTGTAGCTTTCTGCTGTGTGTCAAGACAAACGAATCGTGCTGCAGTGAAAGAAGGCCATATGAGACAGTGCGTCCCACGATACCTGGCTTTATTAAGCTTGCAATTAACCAAAAGCTAATTAAAAGGCTAGGCCACAGCTGGGGGGGACTGAGCTATGGCTGAAAACTAAAACAAAATATACATAACTGGGGCTGTCAATCATCTGGGGGGCAATGACAGAATACTAAAATGCCCTCAGATGGTGACAAGTCTATTCCCTGAGGTGCAGGGATCTCAGGTGCAACATCCCTCGGTGATGTGAGGGGAGCCCCGACCAGCCGCCACTGGCTGCTGTCCTCATGTGGACGACAGATGAGGTCAGCCTCGACAGAGCTGTCTAACCAGTGCAGCAGCTTTTACTGCAGCGGACACACATCTGTCACCAATCCACAACCCAAGTGATAAATGGGAATCATAAAACAGTGTCAACATGAAGGCAATATAGAACTTCTCATCACCAAAGCAATGAGGTGACCCCATGATCCAATGATATTCTCAGCACGCATGGCCTTCTGTTTTGTTCAATATCCAGTGGCTACTGAATTGTCCCTAGCAATAATTGTGACGAGACACTGTGTGCCAGTCAATGTCTAATCAATGTATTTGGTAAACAAAGGCTTGACAGCTCTTGTTCTCTCCGGCTCGTGTCGCAGGTGGTATGTCTTTAGTGATCATAGCGTTACAAGCCCGGCAGCTCTGTGTCGCTGTCTCTGTGGCCCTCTTACTTAGAGACAGCTTTGCTCTGTTTGAGACTGTCTCTCTGCTCTACTTATCAGAGGTGGTGAAGTCAATATCAGATTTACATCTGATCATTTTTTCTTATTTTGAAGTGTCAAAATTCTAAATAGAATTCAAAATTTAATTTAGTGTTTTCTTTTATATAAATAAAGACTTTTCCACCATACATTGATGCAAAAAAGGCAAATGTGTGCATAAAAAATTAGTATGTAGGAAATTAAGTATTATGCTCAATATGAGTACCCCCCAATGTTGACTCTAAATCTATGCCCTTAATATTAAGGACTAGAAATCTGGATCTTTGAAAATTTGAGCATCTCTCCTTTTTTAAACTGCCTCCACAACTAAAACAAAGTGCAGCACCACTATAAAATGTTAGAGTACCTCTAATAGCTGCATTACATTGGAGAAAGAAAGACATTTTCTCTAAATAGGTCACTAAGAAGTTTACCCTTTTTAGAATATGTTCTAAATTCAACAAAGCTATACATTATACAACATTTCTAATGTTGTATAATGTATATTTGTCTGCTTTTAACTGCTTTTCACCAGTTGATGCTAATACACCCGTTGGCTGGCACACTGGCTATTGTCCAACTAGAGTCACGATGTCAGCATGTTATGTAATCCCACATATCCACATGGTAAACTACAAAGCTCTTTCTCAACCAGTTCAGTATTAGCAGTTCAATTCTTCCATGGGTCCAGGTCAGTCCGCCTTAGCCCCACCAAACCAGGATGACATGTATTTCCACTACTGCCCCACAGAAGGGGATAGCCATGCTGAGCCGGGCTACTGTGGTCCTGATTGGAAGCCCCTTGGGTGTGTCCTAACTTGTTTAAAAGTCGCTATGTTCAGCTTTCTAGCCTTTTTTACCATTTAAAGAATATTTGAAGGGGACAGTTTGGAAATGGGAGGGGGAGAGAAAGATAGGCATGACATTCAACAAAGGTCCCATGGCTGGAATCGACCTAGGACGGGGCAGTTATATGTCGTGCGCTGTAACCACCCGGTTAACGAGGAGGTCCTGTTTTACACTTACCTTATGTTAAAAGCTTTCAATTGATGAACTGAACTGCAATGCTTTTATTGTGAAGAAGTTAAAGTATATATATATATATATATACACAATGTGTTTGTCACAAAGTTGGCGAAGCTTCTTTAGCGGTGCTCCAGGCCCTATTCGCAGCAGCCATTTCGACATGTCATTGCAAGGTAAACACAGGTGTAATTAATAACGTTAATTATGTTATTAATTACTGTTCCAATTAGGTTGGCCAGAGCCCTGGTATTGTTCATGCTGGTTTACTGGAATGGCTGCGACTCACTAAATAGAATGGGACCATAATTAACTGTATCAATTACAGCTGTGTGTACCCTACTATGACCTGTCAAAATTGCTGCTGTGAATAGGGCGTATTCTTGAATAAAAACAGGTCTAATCACCTATTCTACACTATTTGGTCAGCAGCTCAGTTTTAAATATTCCAGGGAGGAATAGTACAAACAGAAACAGACACAATGAGCTGAAAAGGCTGCAGGTGACATACTCTTACTCTGGTTTGTGACGAGCAAACTAGGTTCAACAACTCTGTGTTGCTGTGCGGTGCTGTACCGTGCAGCAGAACAACACTCCTATCGCACCTTGCAAGCTCGGCTCGACCGCCCCTTGGCCACTCGGCGCTACTACCTCCCCCTACAATGGAAAAACCCTACGAGTTGACTGGTTGGCCAAGTAATCCCATCCAACCATAAGGGACACGCATGCGAGTGGTGCTTATTGGGTTTTCACACAAAAGAGCCCCAGCAGGCCTCAATCAATGGAGGCAGACTGCTGAGCTGTGCAGTGGTGTTCCCTCTCTCTCTCTGTCCATTAGACGGGTGAGTAAACAAGGACCGAACACTGGCGCTCGGCCCACCTGCAGTGCATCTCACATCTGAGCTTACCCAAATCACAAAAACACTTTCCCCACTTACTCATCATGTTACCAAGGCATGCAGATAGTTTGGCTGATTTGCTGAGGTTTGATATCTGCCTTTGAAACTTCTGCCACTATCACAATACATTTGGATTGAATGGAATTTCAATTGAGGTGCTCAGAGTATTCAAAAAAAATCTAATTCTAAAAGATGTTACATTAAATATAATTGTGACTTTCCAGAAACAATATCCTGGTTACTTAGGATAATCAACAGCAATCATTTGTAATGATAATGAATTTAAAAAAGAAATATCTCAGTCCTTTTAGCATCATTTGACAATTTAAAAACAAAGAAATTGCTATCAGTAGTACTCTGGACACAACTTATCTATGCCCCAGATCCTCATTTAGCAACAGTGCCCTGTACATGTAAAGTGCAGAGGTTCAGTGGCAGAACACTCTGTATCACATCCAATGCACCAAAACAACTTTTGCTAAAATTGCCAAACTAGTGATGCTGCAGAATTCAGATCAGGCGCTGGCCTAAATCCTCCCCGGTCACTCAGGGGACAGGGACATAGGAAATGAGTGTAGCCCAGAGTCCAAAGTTTTAAGAGGATGTGAGATGAAAATAGACCAGTATAGGAGACTGCAGTAAGAGGTCGGGGAGCCGTAACCTCTCGTGTTAAAAGAGGATTGCAGGCAGGTCGTGGTGCAGACAGACACACCAGGGGCTGAACATGAAGATTAACCTATTACAGAGAGGTCGCTGTCTCAGGTGAAAAACACTGCAAAAAGTGAAAGGGTAGGAAAACACCATGCTCTATTTGTGTCCGCAGTGTGTGACTGACTTGAACACAATGTTTTCAAACTTAGTATATATTTCCATTATTAAACTTCATTATTTCTCTACTACACTGCATGCAAGCAATGGACAGATGGTGGGGGAGGGAAACTTCCATTTTTTTCAAGCCCCAAGGGTGAGATCAATTTCAAAGAGGAGCCAATGGACCCTTTAAACAACACATTCATCACACATCCATTCACAGGCAGGATTGCACTTAGAGCTACACCATGCACTTTCAAGCCCACACAAACTCAGCTCACGAATACATACTACAGATTGGGCAAATGAGTCAAGCTGAGATCAATGGACACTGATGTGCATTAGCAGCAGCCTGTGCAGAGCTAAAGCTGCACTGAGGAGTGGTCTGCCTGTCTGTATTCATGGCACTGGGTCAAACATGTCAGAACAGTTATGTCAATGATGCAAATGATCCAAGGGAAGCGCTGCATTGCATCCATTATACTGCTATGCCCTCAAGAGATCGTTTAAATTAAGTACAGTAGATGATCCACAAAAGGAGTACTGATCTCAAACATTTTGTCTGGCAGAAAATAACTTTAACTTTAAAAGTAAACAGCATCAATCACTGACATCACCATTAGGCGCCAGCCCTTAACAATGTGAATATGTTCAGTGGCCTTTAAAACTTCTGGCATAACTTGCCTGAGGTTAATAGTGTGCATTTGTCTGGACCATTTAGCCAGCACTAAAGGCAATATGTAGCTTTTATGAAAAAAATCAAATTGCATACTGAATCAATGCATTTTATGTTTCATCAATATAATCAAGTATTGAGCCTCGTTAATGATTCGTGGTCACATGAGGTGATTGTTGCATCCATTACCTTCTACTAAGTCATCCAGGCTGGTGATCCTCGTGCCTCCATCCAACGCGTACAGCGTCCGGACTCCTTGAGGAAGGTTGACGTTGTCCGACAGGGACCTCGTGAGCTCCATGAGCAGAGCATCCAGAGACCTGAACCGGTCATTAGACACGGCATACACCAATCCTTTAAAATATCTGTCCCCGTTGCGATAAAACCGCACTTTTTTGGCTTTTTTCTCGGACGTGAGCGACTGCAGAGTGCGTGTGCGGTAGAAACTACAGAACGCACTGTGCGCCGGGCTGGGCACCAGACCGTTGCCCCTGGAGCCTGACTGGGACCCGGAGCCAGAGTTGGTTCTCGGTGTCCGGTGCGGCTTCTCTCGTTCCTCGAAGTGTTCAAATTCAATACTTCTGCTGAGCGACATGTTGTTTTGCTCCTTTTCCTCCTATTTCAAACGAAATCCCAAACAGAAAAAAACTACTTTTATCCAGAATGCTGACGGGTCGATGCGTCCGGAGTCGGAGGAAGAAGGATGCACATGTGCGTCTCCAGTCTCAACTTCAAGCCCACACTTGCTGCGCCGGTTGCTCGTGACAAGTCCGAATGCACACGTCATAAAAGAAGAAACAAGTCGAGAAATAATCTCGGGGTCCACAGAAACTCAATCCCTTGCCCTGACTGATCCGATGAATTGATTTAGTCTACCTACTATAATGCAGCAGGAGCAATAATTCAAACGCCAGCTCTGGATTATACGGTTGAGGAGCAGCTGCGTTTGACAGACGCTGCATTGGACCAACCGGGTGGATTTCAAACAACGAAGCAGATTTTTACAAAACTTCGGAGCACCGCACCAAACACCGCAAGCCACCTCCTTCTCCACCTCACATCCTTCCTCTGACTGGTCGGTCCCTCAAACTGTCAGATCAGTGGATGGAGAGAGGGGGAAGTCCTTCCCGCCTCAGGGTCCTAATGCTCTCTATTGTTCTGCGAATATATTCAGGACAGAAACAATAAAGTGTACACTCAAACTGTAAGAATACAACAGAAAGTTTTTTTCTTTGATATGATACATACCCCTATATAGTCCATAGGCTAAATACAGAGGTTATAATTAACACAGGTGGATTAAGTTACAATAAAAAATATTGAAGGAATATCAATATTAGCCTATTGTGAATGAACATTTACATTTATTCATTTGGCAGACGCTTAAGTCCAAAGCGATGTACACATGAAATGTGTTAGTATCTAATTTGTATTTATATAATATATTATTTCAATATAATGATGGCAAAGAGGCGCACACCTTTACAGCGCGCTAAACACGCTCACACACATTCATATAAATGTTGAAATCCACAACTATAAACAACTGAAACCACGGGCTATTAGACAACAATTTCACATATTACAAATCAGAAAAACATGAGATAGGCTAAATAACCATAAATTGTAGAGATGGTATCGGTTACATCAGATGCAAAGATCTTTTGTGTCATTTATAAATTATAAGGATTCTGTAAGAGATGAAGAAATATTTATCAGTGAATTGTTATTAATTATCTATTTATTCCTTTGCATGTTTTTGCAATTGCACTCAAAGATTGATGCTAGATTTAGTGATTTATTGATCTATACATAGGCGGCAAGCAGAAACAGTCACACACGGTAAATTAATACAACGTACAGATACATACATAGACATGTATGTTTGTGTCTTAGGAAATGAATACAGTATGGCTGTGTAGCAGAGTGCAGCAAACACTAAGCCTGACTCTCTGTGACTGCCAAATAGTGAGCTTGGATTATACAAGGCAATGTTTACTCACCACCTGGTGGGTTCCTGGTTGAAACTCATCACCTTTCCCTGCCAGGCTCATAGAGATACCTTCGTCACCACCTGGTGCAGCACAGCACGGACCTGAGCCACACTGTCACTGCAGCTTGGCAAAAAGCAGGGCAAAGAGTAGTAACGGGCAGACGGGGGATGAGTTAACCCACTTTTCAACTACAGTATAGCCTAGTTCCTGAAGTCAGTGCAACAGAAACTAATAAGTCTATCTTTGTCACATTTTATAAGCACTCATTGGGGACAAGAAGTTTTAATCAGTAACTTTCTGACCATAAAATCAATATGTAAAGTAACATTGAAGAGTTCCCTCATCGGTGAACAAACCAGCGTTTTGTACAACTGAACTGAACAAAACTGAAAACAGAAGCCACTTTTACCCTGTTTTTTTACAAACATGAATAACATAAACAAACCTTTGACAACATGAGAAAACAAACAACAGTAACTATTAGACACAGTAGATTTCATGTGATAGTTCATTCTTTATTCCTAATTTGGATCCTAATTTGCTTCCACAAAGTTTTCTTTCTGGTGGCCATACAAACTAACAAAAACAAAAATAAACAATGTGAAATCGCACAGCTCCTATAGAAGAAGAAAGTCACAACACATTTGTAAATAAGAGAAATTAGTTTCTAAAAATTAAAAAAAACATGAGAGTCAATGTAGGAGAGACACCACGATTCATTCTTGTATTTTGGTGGTGGGATGACCCTCGTTTATATATTATCACATAATGTGTATTTGAGGAAGGAAATTAGGTTTCACACTGAACAGAAAGTTTATAATCTAAGTGACCTCATATGTCCTTTGTCCACGGTTTTATTCATGAATTCATCATTTTTTTGATTCACTGATTACATATAAATCTATATAAATATCTCCACTGGGTCTCCAGCAATGTTTTAGGTATTCTTCAAACTGAAAGCCAGCTGTGTTGGATGTTTTGTTTGAGCAGCCTTTGAGGGAGGAAGTCGCTTAGCACAAAGCAAATAGGAAATACTCTTCCCCCGGCGGAGGGAAATCCTGTACAGAATGACAAAGCAGAAAATCCCTCAATGCTAAGAACCCCTCTCTCTAAATTAAGAATAACAATCAGGTTGGCAATAAGGCTTAAGCCTCCTCTGACTGTTTCTACTGGTAATTCGGTAAGCTACTAATATAATGCAGTTTATGAGGGATTTGGGGAATAAATCTCCTCGGGCATTTGTGTGAAAATCACTTAGCAAAACAATCCGCTCTTGAGGAAACAATGCAAAGTGTGTGATCAGTTTCAAAGCCCCGCTGGGTTCAGTGCAAAAATCACATGCCTTATGATTATACTACAGGCTACTTATTTTGAGAATTGAAAGTGCAATGTTTAACTCTGGTCCTTTACATCTGTGTAACACAAATATGAATTGATTCTTATGTCTTAAAATGTGAACATATTGCTGTAATCTCTGCCTTTTACAATGTGTATATCACTATATATTTGCAAAGGAAACAAAACAATTGTATATACACAATAAAACAACTCGACTACATTAAACTGTAGTCTTTCCGAATTTAGTAAGGAGACATTTCTGAAGTGCCACATCCTCATAACTCTGAAGCAGAGACCATCTTTGACAGAAAGTAGATTAAAGGCATCTGGAGATCTGAAGAGAACAATTTGTCTCTACACCCACCGACAGGCAGCATGCGTGGGCGAGTGCATTATTTTCATGGCAGGCACCAGGTCTCACAACATGCACATCATTTCCGATTAATGTGTCAGTAAAGATGAGGATATGGCTTTGGGGCTAAAGGTCAAGAGAGAGAAAAGACAGCAGTTGAAGAGAGGTCCGTGTGTCACTAATACATCCCACAGTCATCACAGCCATAGCTGTAGCCATAGCATATCTAAAGATAATTTGAGCTATGGTCAAAATCCCAAAATGTTTTTTTTGTTTTCATAAGGTCAAGGTGAAAGTATTGTCTGGACCCCTCTTTCCAGCCACGCCCTGAGGAAGACCCAGTGTGTGTCACAACCGGTCGTCATTCTCCTGTTGTACTTTTTACTTTTGTTATGCCCCTAAATGAATAAAGGCATTTTAACTTCATCCTTGGCTTGGTACGAGTGTGCCTGAAGAAAGCCCAGAGGCTTCCCTCTGTCTATAGTTGACTATTTTGTCTTCAAGAGCACTTTATACTCACTCGGGATTTACCTACTTCACAACCGAGAGCACCCCGTATTTTCCAGATGAGCTAGTGAAGTTATAAGAGGAAAAAAAAAAATACTCCAACGCCCTCTGGTGTTCACAAATGATCACTAAATGATTGCTACTCTATATTTTGCTGTATATTCACTGATGGTGAGAACATTTTTAACTAAAAGATGAAGATTCAAAGTTGATTGTTCACTTGAACAAAACTTCAACAAATCAGACAGTGTTTAAGAAAGACCACATGTGATTTGTGAGGAATGATGTACCAGTGCAGAGATTCAGGGGCAATGAAAGGCCCCACCCTGGTTACTTTACAGTAGCTGCATTTTGGTGACAGAGCAATACTGATAAATATGGTCAATATATATTGCTTCCTCTTCATTAGGTGTCAATCTTACACTCAAGACCCTGAAAGACGTCCACCACTTGGGGCATGAGCTCGCATCAACACACAGGCCACAGCAGAAGTATCATGGACTCAGACCTGAAGGGTACTGACTCTATTCTCAGCTACTTGACTGTAAACTGCTTCAGGATATAAAGGCTATATAACTGCATCATTAGCAGAAAGCAAACATGTAATCCTGAGGTCGCCCAACCAGTCATTCTCCACTCCCTGGCTGCATCTTGAAATTCTGCCCATGAAAATCACAAACAGAATCCGTGACAAAGCCCAACGGGCTCCATTGAGTCCAATGCCAATGACACAGCTACTACTCCAGTTATACAAGACTGGATGGCTTGTATTAACAACCGAGGCATCCCATATTCCTTGGAGGATGCAGCAAAAAGCATCTGGGGTATGACAGCAGCCTCTTTTTCAGAACCCTGGAATAAAGCTGAGGCCATAGGCCTGCCTCACTTCAACAACCTCTTTCAACACTGGTGTTAACTGGTGGGAATTTAGATAACTGCTACAACAGGCACTAATGACTTCCAGGCCACAGCTCAGACTAGCTAGCTACCGCTGTAATGGAGGCTTTGTACATTATCAACTGGAATTCCATATCCTTTATGCAAAATTCCTTGGGATTAGATTTTCTGCATTTGTCCAGCAACTTTTTACCACTATGTGATCCAACTCACTAAGTGGTGATCACTTGACAACTATGGCCTGTGGTGGAAAAACTATTCAATAGTACCGAGTGAGTCCTATAATACTGAATACTGAAACAAGAAACATTGAGGAAAGAAGTTTGTCTTTCAAGTATTTATTCTCTGGCCAGAGAAGGCTTCACCGTCATACAGACTGCACAATGTCTTTGTGTGACAAGGCTCAGAAGAGGAAGGGGATGACTGGAGGGGTCAATGGGGAGCTTGAAACTGCTGATCAACTGTTGTCATGTAAAACTGCGTCTGCAGAGGATGAGCCTAGAGCAGTGATTCTTAACGATGGGCAGAAGAAGACATAAGCAGAAGAAGACACTCAGCTGGCCGCTAGCCCAGGAATGGGCAAACTACGGCCGTTGGGTTTTTTAATCCGGCCCGTCAAATATTTGTACAAAATTGTCCAAACTATAATAAAGACTAGAGCTGGGCAGTATACCGGTTTTAATTTTCCGATTGATATGAATTCTTCACACACACTGTTATACAGGTGCATAGCGATAACAACTGCTGTCTACTTTCAACTGGCAGCTAAATGTATTCTTTGCTGCTAATGCACAGCGGTCAGCGCTAGTTGTTTTATATGTATTGAGAGGGAACCCTAGTCATGGTCATAACTTTATAACAACAATTAACAACCCACAACTAATGCTCTGTAACAGAGAAAAACACAACAGCACACAACAGTCTGTGACACATAAACAATTTGTAACACTAATAATTGAACATTTA